CTAGAAGCTAAAAAAATCAAAGCAACAGATTGTCCCCTAGAGATTCTAGAAAGGAAGGCAGCCCTGCCAACCATTTGATTTTGTCCAGTGGGATCCATGTCAGACTTCCAACCTAAAGAACCATAAGATAATAAGTTTGTGTTGTTTTAGCCACTAAGCTTGTGGTAATTGATTAGAGCAACCATAAAACCCTAATACAGATTTTTTAGTTTCTTGGAAGGAAATACATAGACGCATCTATTAAGTTAGAATAAAATAGATGACATAATTGAGAAATAAAGGAAAATTACTGGCATAAGAGATAATAAGAGTTATTGCATATATTGTCTAAATGGAGGAACTCTACAGGGAGCAGCTAATACTTATTCTGAGCCATGAAAAGTGGCCAGAATTTCAACAGAGAGAGAGAAGGGGCATTCATGACAGCATGAGCAAAGCCACAGAGAACGTAAAATTCACTGCGTGCATAATACTGAGGACTTAAAAAGATATGCAAGGGACTGTGCTGTTATACATGGATAAGTTCCTTAGTACTTCATAAAAAAATATACATCATCATCATCTTCATCACCATATTCTTATTTTATAAGTGAGAAAACTATGACACAAAGATGGTAACTGTCTGACCTAACTGGTAGGGAGATGGAGCCAGTATTTGAACCCTGATAGTCTAAGTCCAGAGTCCAGGTTTCTAACCCCAATGTTATTGAGTCCACAAGATAGGAACCTTGAGTCAATGCTTGGCATGTCCAAGAAGCACTAAGGTGACCAGGACGGCTGGCACAAAGGTTGCAATGTGTAGAATAGTAGGAAGTGAGATCTGTGGGCTGGCAGAGGTCAGATCATGTATGGTGTTACAGCCCCTAGAAGAACCTTGGTTCTTATTCTGAGTGAGATGAGCGATGAGGAGACACTAAGTAGCATAACTTGCCTTATTGTTTTTAAACAATTATTTTGGCTTTAGAGTTGATAGCAGATTGTAGGAAGCAAAGGTGAGAGGACGGAGAGCAGTCAGAATTGAGACCTTCCACATGAGAAAAGGATAAAGGAAAAGAGAAATGAAGACATGAGACACAGCCTGTCGGAATTTTACAAATTGAAGGAGAGTGCAAAATCTAAAGCATGTCAGGGATAAAGGGGGTCAAATATATGGTGACGGAAGGAGAACGGACTCTGGGTGGTGAGCACACATTGCAATATACAGATGATATATTATTGAGTTGTATGCTTGAAGCCTATGTAATCTTATTAAACAATGTCACCCCAATAAATTTAATAT